TCTTCGTCCTTCTGCAAGTAGTTCACAAAGGGCGAACTTACTTTTTTGCCCAAGAACCTCGTACGTCGTTGTTGTCGTGGCTCACTATCCTCATCATTATTCTCATCAATCACCTAGGAGTTTTTTAAGCAAAAGTATTATTTGTCCGAGATTCTGGAGAAATTGACAAATGCACAAACTTGCAACAAAAAGGAGTTGTTGTACTCACCGCCTGCTCCACAGCCTCACGAGCAATTTCGACAATGTCAGGAGACTTCTTCTCCTCATCATCAATTGTCTGGGAGTTTTTGTAACAAAATATATCAGTTTTAGGAGATTCTAGACACATTCACAAATGTTCAAACTTGGAATAAAAATTAGTTGTTGTACTCACAGTGTAGTCAACAGCCTCATGAGCAATCTCGACAATGTCAGGAGACTTCTTCTCACTATCAATAATCTCAGGAGACTTCTTCTCACTCTCATTAATTTTAGTGTTCACCGCCTGCTCCACACTCTCAATAATCTCAGGAGACTTCTTCTCCACATCAGCCATCTCATCAATCGCCTAAGAGTTTTGGCAACAAAAAGAAGTCGTTTACGAGAACATAAGTTTAATTTTGGAAATAATGTACAAATGTTCGTTTACCTCATTCTTAACCACCTGCTCCAAATCCTGAGGGGACTTATTCTCGGACCTCTCCTCATGAATCGACTAAGAGTTTTTAGAACAAAAAATATTAATTCCAAAAGAAACAAATTGTTATTCAAGGCAACGTTTTACAATAGTCAAATGCAATTGTAAATAGTTTACCTCATTGGCAAACACCTCATGCTCGTTCTCATCCTCTTCTTTCTTAGCCCCCTTCTCTTTCTCTTCTTCCTCCTCCTCATCCTTCTTTTCCTCTTCCTCCTTCTCTTCTTTCTCCTCCTCTTCTTTCTTTGACTCGTTCTCATTCTCTTCTTCCTCATCCTCATCCTTCTTTTCCTCTTCCTTCCCTTCTTCATCTTCCTTCTCTTCTCTCTCATACTCGTTATCAACCACCTAAGAGTTTTTCGAAACAAAAAATATTAGTTTAAATAGAAACAAATTTCATTTTCTGGTAAAATTCATAAATGTGCAAATGTCAAAAAACTTACCCCATGACCAAAAGTTGGTACCGCCGGATTGAGAGGACCGCTTGATTCTCCTCGAGTGGAGAAGGCCGCCTGAGAGGACTGCTTGACATCATTTTACAAAGAATGAAAAAGTTTTAACTTACCAAAAATGTCAAAAATGCCACGTGAAATGCAAAAGTTAAGAAGTTACCCCATGACCAAAATATGGAGTGGATGGACTCTCAGTTCCTCTAGTTTTATCCCCAGGTCTCGAAATACCATAATTATCCAATCTTCGAAAAACCTCATGAAATACCTGATCAATGGCAATGGGGACGACCTGACGTAAAGTTTGTTCAAGTATCGAAGGCATCAACTCTTTCATGCAATTTGAAACGCCTTCCTCCACCCATTGCTTGATTAGGTCTTTGTCCATTCCAACTGGCTCCTTCTGAGGCTCCCTTGGCTCATTTTGAGGCTCTCTCGGCTCCCTCTCCATCTCTTCTTCAGCTTCATCATTTGCTTCTACAGCCAGCTTCTTCGAATGTCTGTTCGTTGGCTGTCCAAGCTTCCTTTTTTTGGTGGCAAGTGTATGACGTGAAGACGAGGAGGCATCACGTAGCGGCTTGCAACAACTCTTCCACGAGTCATGGTGGATATATTGCAACCCCAGTGATAAGTCCAATTCAACATTAGCCATATATGGCGCATTCCTCTCGGCATCAGTCAAACACATTGGTATGTATTGAATCTATTAAGAAAATGCCAAAAAAAAAAAAAAATTTGACAGAAAGAAGAATAAGAATAAGAATAATTTCATAACAAGAATTATATAACAATTTTAATGTAGAACATATATATTTACCTCGGCTTTATCAATGTCAGACAACTGAACAAAATTTTTCTTCGGGTACATCCACCGAGTGCCTCTCGGTAGGCCATTTCCGATACATACCATTCCACCTCCTCGTACAAAATCGGGCATCATCTCACAAGCCCAAATCTATTTAGAAAAAAAAAAATAGTAAATCATCTTTTTAAAGTAAATAACAAAAAATAATGACACAATTATAAAATTGTATATGTACCTGAAAAGGCATTAAAAACCCATGGATATTCAACTGAATATCGCACCCCTCATCTAGAGCACTTATACCATCGAGACAATGGTATAAACGCTGAAAGCTAAATGTGCCCCATGGAAATTTCCAGAACATGTCCAAATTTTCAACTAACGTCCAAAGCCAAAGTGGCACAGCGGACCTCGGGTCGGGTGCAAATAAGAAAAAGTGAACAATCAAGATCATGGCAGCCTTCAGCGCGTCATCGGGATTATTCTGAAAATGACTGTTCGTGAAATCCCTCAACAAATCACCTCCTATCACACTCTTTCCATCATAGTGGCGTCGATATATCCCATCAATGGCCGGTAAACTCTCATTATCCTCGGGGATAAATTCCGACCCACCAAATTTCAAGCCACTGATTTGGCAAAATTCGACTTTCCCGAATTTATAATTATTATCTCTAATTCGAAACCAACGCTCCTTCTCTCGAGCGTCACGCACAAAAACCTCTCGACCCAATAAGGCAAGTAGTAGTCTCCCACTGTAGTATGCTTGCCCATCAAACCTCAACAAATGTCCAAAACAAGACTCTTCAAACTCCCGAAGACGGCCACAAGCACCTAATTGCTTCTTAATATAGCCTATTACTTTAGGCTTTGTCTGACAGTTAATTTTGCCGCTCCAAGTGCAAGCTTTGCCCCATCTCCAACTCCAACAATCCCCCTAACAATCATGAAACAATCAATATTATTTTAATTTTTTTTAAAAACACAACAAACACGGTTTCTTGATAACAAACCAAGAAACCAGTTTCTTGCCAAGAAACTGGTTTCTTGCCAAGAAACTGGTTTCTTGCCAAGAAACGCCAAGAAACTTCCGTTTTCTTCAACAAGAAACCGGTTTCGTGACAACAAACCAGTTTCTGGCAGGAAGTTAAATACTCTTTCTTGAGTAAACAACATAAACACATTAGTTTCTTGAACCAAAAAACTGAAGTTTTTCCACGTAAACTACAAAACTTATTTTTGAGCAAAATAACATCATACCTCGTTAGCGGTTGTCATCTAGTCGTGTTCCAAGAATAGCGCCTCAAAGAGGTAAGATGTTTGAACGAAGATCTGTATTCAAGTTAAGAAAATGAAGAAATGCATCAATTTACATTTAAAGATGACTACTTCTTCACGATATATCAAATTAGTAGCAAAAGCCCAATTAACTCAAAACTTAAGACATAAATAGGGTGGCATATGGCTCTATTTTGAGTCGGCTAATACTAACTCTACACATAAAATCACTTTGACAAGTCCCTTGCCAATACCTGCAACTCAATGACCACCAACCACATAAAATCACTCCAAAAAAGTTAGTGATAAACCATATAATCCTATACGCCAAGCAACTGTTAAGTATTTTGGAATTAGACATCTCTTTCACTTGCCTTAAAGTTGTAATAAAACAATACATTTCATGACATAATTTGGAACCAAAGAGGGAGCTAGACCTTTGTTAATTGCAAAAACAAACTTGAAGAGGTTATTGTGTAAATGTTAAGGCGCATTCTTCTTGCAATTATTTAAAATATAATTGAATTTAATTAATTGTTATGATTAACCTCTATATGTCTAATTCATTACACTGTCCATATAGCAGTGCTCATTAACAGCTATATTAAACTATTTCTTCAGTTTTCCTGATTGTTATATCTTCTCACATCATGACATATGTATTACAGAAAATTCCTCAAAAATAACAACCCAATCAAAATCTCTTTCCACATTTTTTTGTTGTTAAAGAGACCAAACACTTTTCATTTGCCAACTCTACATATTGAAACCAAATACACAACAATTGGGCGGCTCAACAGCCCATTGAACACCTAAATTCCCAAATACACACCAAAAGGTTTAAGGCCATTGAACACCTAAATTCCCAAATACACACCAACAGCCCATTGAACACATAAATTCCCAAATGAAATTAAGGTTTTAACTTATTTCCACTCACATTCTACTCCCTAATCCAAAAACAAATTCCCTAAAATCCCTAAAAAACCCTTTATCAAGAAATCCTAAAAAACCCTAAAAATTTGAAGTTAAGGAACTGCACCTTGGGAAGAGCAGCGACTTTGACTTGCCGGAATGGGAAGAGCAACGGCTGCGACTAGCCGGAAGCAGCACTCGACGGGCTGTGACTCGTGAATGAAATCGACGGACTGTGGCTCGTGTGAATGAAATCGACGGACTGTGACTGTGACTCGCCGAAAACGAGGAAAGATGAGTAAAAGTTTATGAAATTGGGTAATGAAATGCATAGAGGGAGATAGATGAAACAAATCGATTGAATGCGGTACAAAAACCCTAAAAATCGTAACACAAAAAAAAAATATGAACCTGGTTTCGCCGGAAATAGAACTGCGATTGATGGGAGTTTCGAGTTGCCGGAGAAGAGAGCTTCGAGTTGCCGGAGAAGAGAGCTTGGAAATGTAAAATGGAGAATGAAGATAGAGCGGGGAAAAATGGAGAGCGGGGAAAAATGGAATGAAAAAGAAAAGGTGAAAAAAGGGCACAATAATGAAAATTAAAAATGGAAAATGGAATGAAAATTAGAAAAGATGAAAAAAGGTCATCTGGTCAATTTGCAACCCAAAATGGCTAGATTTCATCTTTTTACAAAAGATGGCCATATTTCATTTTGTCTTTTGCTAAAGTGCTATAAAGCACCATTACCACATGAATTAAAGTTGATGTAATGTGTAAACATGATTGATTGAATTATTTAATTATATTGATAATATTAGAGATAGTGGAGTTAAATTAAAGTTGAGTTAAATTTGAGTTTTGATTAGCAAAAGATAGGGAAGAGATTCATCCAACAATCACTAACAAGACATAATATTAGTCTTCTAAAAAACATGAGACAAATATTCCAGTGAGACTTGTTAATAACCTTGTAAATTCAGGTTAAACAACAACTAGTAAGATAGTTAAGCATGAAAAGAAAAAGGGGAAAGAAATCAAATCACAATCACAATTAAGAAGTATTAAAAAATAAAAAGAAAAATATTCCACAATCCATCTCTAAATAAGAGAGCACCGCTGTCCGCAAACTTCCTTAGAGAGTAACATCACTACTGAGCAACACAACATCTAGGCAAAATATGAAAATATTACAAAAGTTGGAGCGATCGGTATTTGCCTGATCTTCCAAATATATAAACTGATTGTATAGCCCATTCAACTTTGGATAAAGTTAAGACTAACCATCTCTACACCACCCTGAATCGATCTTCCAAATATGAATACGGGCAGCAGATTAAACTAAACCCTAGCTCTCTTGCTACTGCAGGTAGGGCATTTGTATTGCTTGATATGTTCGGCTTTTGCAGGCGTTATCTTCACGCATTTCCCATGGAACCACCTCTCACAAATATCACAGCAAATCCAGAATTCGTCATTGGCATAATTATCCCCACAGGCTCCACACGTGGCTCCCTGTTCATCGTCCTCCTCTTCTTCTTCCTCACCTCCCGACTCGTCTTCTTCATCCGCCATCTTAATTGCTTTTGGTTGGGACTCGGGCTGTCGAGAAGGCTGAGAGAGAGAGAGAGAGAGATTATATAATTAAGACGCATAATTAATTCCAGCACAACATAAAGAGGGCACTTATGCATGCCACAAATTACCATTTTGTTACTAGATCTGTTCCTGCTGCCATTATTTTGGTCCTTTGGCTGCTTAACGGTCCCTGTAACAACTTCGAAAACGGTGGGGAGATCATTAATCATCTGAAAAAGCCGTTTCCTGTACAAAATGGATTTCCAACCGAGATTAGGGATTAAACAAAAAATATTCCTAGTAGTTTGGAGGCTCAATGACTTCTCCATCTGAATAAGCATCTCTCGAAATCTTAATGACTTCTCCAACAGGCTACAGAAATTAGTTGCAGAATAACTATCACATCCAAAGCATCTTAAAAGTAAAAGGGGCATCACACAAGTAGGTAATAATACTGTTCCCAATTCGCACAATCAAACCGCAAAAGTCGGTAGGAAGAGAGAGGGATGGGAGAGAGAACCCAACAAACTACTTCCAATGGGTCGCTGATATACAAGTTTAATAGTGAATCTCACAAAAACTAACAGGACTTGGGAAAGAGAAACCAACCAATTCAAGTGTTTTAGATATCCTACTTTCAATGGATCACTGATTAAAAGTTCAACCCTGAATCTCATAACCTAACAAAGAATAAGATGAGCATTCAATTGAATCTCTAGAGTAACAAACTATTACAAGGGGGCAGCAACAGACAAATGAAAATTATCTATTTGTAAACAAGCTAAGAAGGTAATTAAAAAGTCTCAAAGAGAAACTACCACATATTAAATAAAGACACGCAACAAATAGCACAAAAATCACACATCGGGCTGACAACTATAAAAGTTCTAACTATGAAGCACATGGGCAAGTGTATACACATAATATTATCAATTGCAACCAACTTCAAGGTTAAGCTGTAAAGAAGTTTATGTCTGGCACTGGCTTCATTCAATATCGATAATCTTCTTTTACAAGTACGAAGCTAAGAAGATTAAATTATACATAAGTAAACTTATCATTTAAGATTTATGTTTGTTAAAAAAGAAGACATCAAAAGATGACCAAAATAGGCTATATCACTCCCAATAAAGAAAAGCCATGCATATTATAAACAAAATTCAAGACAAGACAAAATTTTATTATTAAGGTATTTGTAACTCCAGAAGTCAATAAGCTCCCCGAACAACATCCCAGCAGAAAGCATTTACCTTTCACTTTTACCAAATCCAAATCGTGCACCAAAGTAGAATGCAACAGAAAGCAGCCACGAGTCACTATGTACTGCAACAAGTGATAGCCAGTCCTTCTCTTGCATCCCATCTCGGGCAAAGTTTATCCCAAGAGCAGGCTCAGGGAGTTCGGGTGGCACTTCCTCAACAGGCAAGTTTACTTCCCAAGTCTCATTTGGAAGCCCATATAGACAGAGGTTCTCTTTTTCTACAAGGCAGCATGGAGAAACAATAATCAGATCTTTAACCAACATTTTATCAGAACATGTACACCACATTGAACTTGAATTTGTGGAGCAGTCAATGGTCTCATGCACCACAAACAGTCACTATCAAGATAAAGTCTAGCTTCTCAAGATAGGCCATATCTATGACACCTAAACACACTTGGTCTAGCACAACAGGCTACAATCAACAAGCGAATTTTTAAAATCACAGAAGGTCTCGGTAATAAGAAAACAAATTAACATGAATGTCTATAGAGTAACCAGATCATAAATTTGCATATAACCAAGCAACAAAAATAAAGTTAAACCATGGATAACACCATATGATTATCTTAACATTCAATATCAACTACCAACAAATTCAACTAACCACGACTTAGTATATCAGAAAGAAAATGTCTCCTACATCAGATTAATTGGCACTCCACTAGTAAACAACACTACGTTTACCCTAGTTTTCGATAACACGAGACCAAGGTTCGTTGGTAAATCAATGTACTGCCACAAATTACGGGCTCAGAAAGACAAATATGTAGCAGACTAGAATCACAGCTTTTTTTTATCAGCTTCATATTGTGTCATAATGCTAAGAAAATATCTGTTAATAATATACTCTACCAATATCATCCCGTTCTCTAGACACTTCATTTCAACTTTCCAAGAATCACAGAAATATCAATAGGCCTCGTTCATCTAACATTTTCTGGACGAGAATGGCACTTACGAATCTTTTCTTCTGGCACACCATCATAATAGATAAATATTTATTACTGATGCCAAATATGATATAAGCTACATGTTAACAACTCCCTAGTCCAGACGTTAGAGATGCCTAGATTTTCCAGAAAATTGAGGCTGAATATCAAGCAAGGCCAGTTTCAGGTGACAGGTACCAAATAACATGGCATACGCTATCACGCATAAAAGAAATATCTTAAATTCTATTAGAAAGTTGCGGTAGCACATTGTTACCGACCAGCGGGGCAGCATAATTAATACCTCAGCTAGATGCCCAACACATTATCCCTTTAGCATTGAATGGAGGTTGAGAACTAAATTAAATATTTCAGCCCATTCAAAACGTAAATTAGAAATGAAAAACCATAAAAACATTGCATTATCACCAATGATGCACTCTTTTATAATAACAAAGGAACAATTAAAAATAAAATCTTTTGGGATTTAGCAAATTGCATGAGGACACAATATCTTCCGGCAGTACAGGACTTTCGACATACGTTACCATCATGCAATACTGTAACTGTTGAGAGATTTTTGAGAGGATGTTATTATAACAGAAATACAAACCTCAAGAATATTATTTATTGACTCTACAATATATTGACAATTGCAATTATTGGACTTCTCTTCATATTTAGGGTTAACTCGGAAATTTACTTTGGATAAAAAGAAATCTGAATTAACTATGCAATCCATTGCTCATGTAGAGACAAGTCTCGAGAATATCACGCTCCCCAAGAAAAAGTAACCAGATTTCAGCACATTGCCTGATTGCCACATTCTACAAGATAATATCTAAACAATTCACAATATCATGAAGAGCTACCAAAAATAAAACTTCCAAGAAGCTGACTACAGAAAAACATGGTTGTAAATACAAAAAAAGATAGTAAGTGTCCACCCACGGACGTAGAAGCAAAATGGAAAATTGTACCAAATGCATGAAAAAGTACGATAAAAACTTGCAATAGTTGACGAAAGCACAAACGTATCAAATTATAAATTCTGAAAATCCTACACTAGCAGCAGCTTTTCAATATAACACGAACACACATCAGCCAAAATTACAGCCACACGGAATCAAACCTTAACACAGACATGTGAAATAAGTCTCAGTGGTCAACCCTCATAATAAAGATGCACCACGCATAAAGAACTAACAAAAAAACGCTCACCTGGATCACACTGTTGATAAAACTTCTCCACATCTGCCAAGACCAAAATAAAATAAAGTCAGAATACATTTGACCTCAAATTCCACAAAGCAATCCATGCTGCCCACGACTATTAAACCCCTTCAAACAACCGAAGTTAGTTGCAACAAAATTTCTTATGCGTGCAGGCAAAGGCACAATAAAGAGCAACATAAAAATTCATGCAGAAAAGCACAACTCTTACGGCAGATTTAGAACAAAGCTTTCAATTTTTCTTATTAGTTTCCTACAACGTTTCCAGTTGCTAAAAACAGAATTAAACGCAAACGGAAAACAACAAAATACCAGCAGTAAGAGCTTTGAGGAGACCAGCTCGACGGCCTCTGAAATCGCTGAAGACTTCCTCCACAGTCCTCGGTACCGGATGAGGAGTTCCCTCCATCTTTTCAAAACTTTTTGCCACAAAAAACGCAGGAAAGCAACCTGATAATTCAACGCTTATTGACCGAATTAGGATTTTATTCCAGATCTAGGGTTTCTCCATGATTTTAGAAATATCCGAAACTTAGGATGGATATACGAAATATGGATTGGAAGGTATTTTCAGCTGTCTGAATATCCAACTTTGTTCAGAAAAAGAAAAACGGAGCAAAAAAAATCTGAGAGAGAGAGAGAGAGGGGGGAGAGCAAAGAAAATGGAGTGAACCGGAGGGAATGAAAATGATGAAATGACGGATGAGGGTTTTAGTATTATAATATTTCTTTTTTGGCTTTTTTTTTTTTAATTTGATATTGCTTTTTTTTTCTTTTTCCTTTTCAATTTGTAATTTTAGGTATAGAAAGTATAAACTGATTCTGTTACAGTAATGCTCACCTATCCACGGTGGGCACATGTTAATATGTTCATCGCTTATGTGGCATGCACACATTGGTGACTTTAATATGCTGCCCATCGTTTATATGACATGCACACATTGGTGATGTATTTTTTTGAACATATTAAAATCACCAATGTGAGCATGTCACATAAGCGGTGGGTATATTAACATGTGCCCACCGTGGGTAGGGGAGCATTTTTCGATTCTGTTATTTGTATCTCTCATCTGAGAGTTTTCTTCTCTTTCGAAGAGTTTTCCTTTCTCTTGTAGTGAGAGTTCTTATCTCGCGTAGAGATTGGGTTAGAATCAGAACACGAGAGCTGTCTATATGGAATAGGAATTGGCCCTAATTTGTACAGTATTTGAGACTTAGGGCTTTTACATCAGTATCTTCCAGAAGGCGATAGGAAGAGGTGATTCGTGGGTGCAGCCATTATGGAGAAGGAGGAAGATGCTTTGGGTTCCTTAATGGATAAATTTACGTTATCAGAGAGGGAGAACTCAATCATTACATTGAAGATCTTGATGTCAGGGTCAGTGCTGAGGAGTGTAGCAAAAGTCTTGTTGAGTATATTTTTACCGGAGTTAAATCAAAAGATTCGACACCGGGTCGTGTCTCGAGGAAGGTCAGCCGGATTATTTCGTACGATTATTCAAACAGAAGAATGGAAAATAAAAGAAATGAAATTCCTAAACATTCTAAATCCAAGTTTGGTTGGTTTGATTATTAACTACTTCAAATAAATTAAATAAAGCAATTAAATAGCAAACGGGCACGTAGAACAAATAAGATTAAACGAGGCTAGGGAGTCGGGGATATCCGCTTTGGTTCGAGATGCAATTGCGGGCAAGTGATTGTTCAGCCAATGAATTCGAATAATCTACCTAATCAAGCATTCATTCTCAATAACTTTTCGTAACAAGAGAATAAACTAGAACGACAAATTACGAGTCAATTAACTCCTAGGCAATACAGTTACGAACAAGCCTAGATCATGCGAATCTATTTCGACCGACTCCTCCCCTTTCGGTTCTAAGAGTCGATTAATTAATCCTAGAAGATGGTTAATCAACTAGTCGATATCGGATTAACAAATTCACGCAAGAACGAATCAAATTCAATTAAATAATTGCAAATCGAAGTGTCACTTCTTCGATAATTCTCACCATTCAAGCATGAATCGAAAACCCTAATTAAGCATGAATCACATAAAATTGAACAATCTAGGGCCCGACAATTCCACACGAATTCAAAGCATCGATCCCCTATTCCCTAGCAATTAATCTAGCTACTCATAATCAAATTTACGATCAAAATCATAATCATCAACGAATCCATATTCATTGAATTAATTGAAAAGAAAGATCTTACGAGTAATAAATCCGAAGATGAACGATAATTTGAATAACAATCTTGAAT